TAGAGAGATTGAGGGAAGGTGAGAAAGCAAACTGTCAGGTCTGGGACTCAAACCATGGGCAGCCATGTGGGAGTCCAGCGTCTTAACCACCATACCACCTGTCAGTTCCTATTTTGTATATTTTAAAATATTTTTATAAATACTGGGCCAGCAGGTGGTATGGTGGTTTAAGGTGCTGGACTACCACATGGCTGGTCCCACATGGCTGACTATGTGGTTTGTGTCCCAGACTCAGTGCTTGGAAATCATGCCAGGTGCTTGTGTGTGTGTGTGCCCGAAATCTCTAAGAGGAGAAAGAAGGAGAAGAGATTGCAGTGGCTAACAAAATCTGCTCTTTTTCTTTCTTCTTAAATTTGCTATAGGGTATATTTACTTGCTGGAGAGAGACAGAGAAAGAGAGAGAAAGCGAGAAAGCATCTTCTAGAAGAGAAGACCACACCGTAGTCCCTTGTCCTTCACTCTCTTCTCAGGATTTGGGGCACTCACATGTGCAGTCAGCCATAGTGGGATGCAGACGTCTTTACCACCATGTCACCTGGCTGGCCCCAGCTCTATCTTGTCTAGCCTCACCTCCACCCTCAGCCTCACCTCCAGGTTCATGGCTGGCTTCTCCAGCTCTCTCCAGTGTTGTCCAGATCTGCCTAGTGCCTTCCTGTGTCCCAGCCTTGCCCTCTCTGGACATCCTCCTCAGAGAACCTGCAGCCCAGGAGTGTCTATTAGATTGCCATGCTGTTTAATAGCTGGGAGGCCAGCCAGTGGCGTGAATGTTAAGGTAGCTGGGGCTAAATGGCTGATTGCGTGGTTCAAGTCCTGGACCCAGCAACTTGACTAAACATGTTGGGTGCATGCGTGTGTGCACGTGCTTGAAATCCTGAAAGTAGGAATGGAAGGATTGCAGCGTGGCCTCTTCACCATTTCTCACCTATTACCAAGTCCTGCCCTTTTTAATTATGTATTTATTTAATTAAATTAATTAATTTATTTTGGAGAGGTTTTTGCCATAGGGTGCATGTGCTTGCCAAAAAGAGAGAGGGAGACAGAGAGACAGAAAGCGAGAGATCATCCCCCCCAGGGGGCATGGCCACACCGCAATCCCTTCTCCTCCATTCTCCTCTCAGGATCTTGGGCAGGCAGGTATGCACATGCACCTGGTGTGAGTTTAAGCCACTGGGTCTGGGTCTCGAACCATGGCCGACTACATGGGAGTCCAGCGACAGAGTCATTACACCAACTGCTGGTTTGTATTTATGTTTTTTGTTTTTTTTTTTTCAAATTTCCCCAAAAGGGGAATTTTATTGATTAATTTATTCCTTCAAAAAAAGACCGACTGTAATCAAATGAGGTGAACATTCACCTCAAGATTTTGTTGTCCTGGGACCAGCAGTTAGCGTAATGGCTATGTTGCTGGACTCCCATGTGGTCAACTGCAGTTCGCGTTCTGGACCCCGTGGCTTAGATCCCAAGAGGAAACTGGAGGAGAAGGGATTGTGGCGTGGCCATCCCCCTTGAGGGGTGATTTCTCGCTTTCTGTCTCTTTGTCTCTCTCTGTCTATCTGGCGAGTGCACACGCCCTATAGCAAAAACCTCTAAAAAACAAAAACAAACAAAAAAACCTAACACCAGGCGCATGTGCGTGTGTGCCCAAGATCCCGAGAGGAGAATGGAGGAGAAGGAATTGCAGCATGGCCATCCCCCCTGGGGGGTGATTTCTCGTTTTCTGTCTCTCTGTCTGTCTGTCTGTCTGGTGAGCGCACGCGCCCTATAGCAAAAACCTCTTTAAAAAAAGAAAAAAAGATTTTGCTGTCTTCACAATAAAAAAGATGAGGCTTAGAACTGGATCACGTGACCCTTTCTCTTCTTATCGCCTCCCAGTTCACAATGCTTACATCTCTTAATAGCCAGCGTTCTCTTAGATCTGCAGTTGGGCTCAACACATTCAAGCCTCAGCACAATCTTCTTTGTAGCTTTTGCTTTTTTCCGGAAAACAGGCTTAGTCTGTCCACCACAGCCGCTCTGCCTCCTGTCCCTGAGCACACAGAGAACCTGTGTCCTTTTTGTACTGTCACTATATGAGGTTGGTGCTTGTCACATTTCTTACAGAAGGTCTGGCGGGTTTTAGGGACGTTCACCATGCTTGCGGGCCTACTATCTGCACAGAAGAGGTATGTATTTATTATTTAAAGTTTGCCAGAGGGAGCATGCCCTCACCAGGGGGACAAACGGGAGGAGAGAAAGCACCCCTTCCAAGGCAATGATCGTGCTGTAATCCCCTGGCCTCTGTTTCTCCCATTGAGATTTTTGCACACGCACACACGCATGCATGGCCTGTTTCTCAAGCTGCTGGGTCCAGGGATCTAGCTGCTTTAAGTACTAGGCCAAGGAGCCAGCCTTGAAATCCTAAACTTTTCTCCAATCACCTCCACCGTCACCACCAAACGCTGACATCTGTTTCTTGGGGAGCTCCTTTCGCTTTCTAACTGCAGTCGCTGCTTCCATCTTGCCTCCTGTAATCCATCAACCTCAAAGGAGCCAAATGATTATTTTAAAAACATGGACCACATGAATTTCCTGCCTAAAATCCATCAGTGTTTTCCCATCACACTTAAAATCAAAACCACTTTCTACGGTCTTCAAGGCATCTTTCTGTCCACCCCTTGCCAGCCTCCCTGAGCCAGCTGGTTTTCCACTTTCCTTTGAGCATGTCAAGCTCTTTCTTGTCTTACACCCTCCCAGTCTTTCTAAGACTGGCTCATCTCAGGTATTTAGGTCTCAGCTCACATTTTCCTCTTTTGTTTTGTTTTCCATAGCAATTCATGTATGCTCTTCTTGGGCCATGGCTAAAGAAATTCATTTTATCCATTCAAGTGGTTTATACTTGATAATATTTGATTAAAATGATTTAAGGGCCTGTAGGTGGTATGGAGGTTAAGGACCCTGGATTCTATATGGCTGACTATGTGGTTCGAGTCCTGGGCCTAGTCCACTGGGCACATGTGCATGCATGCCCCAAATCCTGGGAAGAAAATGAAGGAGAATGGATTGCAGCATAGCCATTCCCCTTGAGGGGTGATTCCTCACTTTCCCTCTCTCTGTCTCTCTCCAGCCAGTGTACTCAGGCATACATGCCTAAAGTAAAATCAACAAAATAAGTTTTGAGATTTTAGAAAGAAAAAAAGAAAATCTAAAACTGAACATATCTAGGGGCCAGCAGGTGCATAGTGGTTAAAGTGCTGGATTCCCACATGGCCGACAGTGGTTCGAGTCCTGGACCTGGTGGCTTGGTTTCTCATTCTCCTGCTCTCTTTCTCTGTCTCTCTGGTGAGCTCACATGCTTTGTAGTAAATTTTTAAAAATAATAATAATGATAAAATTAAATAAATTTATTTATTTTTGAGAGGTTTTTGCTATAGGGCGCGTGCGCTCGCCAGACAGACAGAGAAGACATAGAGACAGAAAGCAAGAAATCACCCTCCAGGGGGGATGGTCACGCTGCAATCCCTTCTCTTCCATTCTCCTCTCGGGATCTCGGGCACGCACAGACACGCGCCTGGCGTGAGTTCTAAGCCACTGGGTCCGGGACTTGAACCACGGTCGACTACGTGGGAGTCCAGCGACA